CGCAGAAGCATAGTCGATTGGACCTGCTCAGCAGAGGCGTTGGTGGGAGGAAAGGCGCACATGAGGATATCGAGGATCTCTCTCTCTCTCTTTCTCTCTCTTTCTCTCCTCTCTCCCTCTTTCTCTGTCTCTCTCGCTCTCTCTCTCTCTCTCTCTCTCTGTCTCTCTCTCTTTCTCTCTCTCTCTCTCTCTCTCTCTCTCTCTGTCTTTCTTGATGTCTGTACCGTTTCCCGCGCACAGGTGGCCAGCCTCATGCCCGCGGCGCCCTGGCTGCGAGCCAGCCTGCATGGTCAGAAGAGGACTGGGCCCAGGGCAAGCGCGGACAGTGCAACACCTCTTTGGCCAGAGTGCGATCCCAAATGCATGGCTACTTAACGAACCCATAGATCTAAGGCCTTCAAGAAATAAGCCACTTCTGCTTTTAGGGTGTGCAGTCAGTGCTGCTACGTGTGAGCGCGCATCGAGCAGTTGCCCTAGGGATGCTCAGTGAAGGCCAAGGAGTCGCGCAAGTCCGCTCCAGAGATCTTGACGATATTCAGAACTGCGGTTGGGTGCCGACACATGACAGACACACGCCTCCCTTTGAGGCCTCGAAGGAGACTTGGTTGATGTGCTGGCAAAGCCTTGTTTTCCGCACATGCACCAGGGTTTTTTTTCGTGACTGCTACAGCTACCGTGCCCCAAGCGCAGCAATGTGATTCTTATGTGCAGGAAGCAAGCCGTCAGCCCTTGCCGCACCCATGCTGACGACACAAGAGTCACGCAGGCAACGCTTGTATTTGAGCGAAGGCAGCCACGTCTTCGAGGCAGCGCACGCAGAGGATGAGAAGGTACCTCCTCGCCCCCCACCCACCCGTGTGAGGTCTCTTGCTTCATAGATTCTCGAGCGTCTCAGCACACACGCGTTTACTCGATCGTGCGCCCCTTCACGCTCTTATCTCTCGTCCTGCCCCCCAGCCTCCTCCCCTGCCCCACATGCAAGAGGAGTAATGTATCCGTCCAACTTGGAAGTTGTATCCCGCGTGCCTCTTGGCCGTGTTGGCTCAATACATCCTGTTTGAAGGTGGAGTTAAGTCCTGAGCACCGCAGCTAGTCCGGAGTCTCAGCCTTGACATGCAGCCCAGCCAAAGCCATGATGGCACGGTAGTAAGTAACACAACCGGCACGCAGCGCAAGCATGGCAAAGCGGGGCGAGGATGCCAATTTGAATTCGTGCAATTTTGCATTAGAGACAATTTGCGCACGATGCATTGAAGGCGTTCAGCTGCTCCGTGGCATCTCCCGGCCACTGCCCGCACGACGGGCCAGCAGCGTTTGAGATGGACGGCATTCATTGTGAGCACGTGTACAGTGTTCCCGTGCTCTCCTTCGCCAGAGCAGTGTACAGCTTCACACAGATATCGATGCGATGCTCCGCTGGCTGAGGGCTACGTTGCGGGCAGGTCGTGGTTACTTACATCGTGTTGGCGTTCAGAGTCACTGTGCGCTCGGTCACTTGCTCACTTGTAAAGGCTTCTACGTTCTCTTTTACGGGATTCCCGATCCTTGGGATGTCTTGTATTTAAAGATGACTTGCGGTGGAGATGTCTCATGTCCATGGCATTCGGTCTGGTTCAGGTTGCGCCTCTCTTATCGCGAAGGCCTTACGGCCGGTGCCGCCGACCCCGATGGGGACGACGACGACGACGACGACGAAAAACATTCAGAGCCTTTTTGGGAAAATCATTGAATTTGCCATCTGTGGGTTCTCTTTGGGTTCTCTTGGGGCTCTCTTAGACCTTTGAAAGGCCTCTTCGGTGCTTCTTGGGCGCCTCCTGGGGCCTCCTGGGGGCCTTTTTGGGCGGAAGGCTCGAAATGTCAATTGGTGTTCCCCCTTCGGGAGCCTCTTGGGGCCCTCTTGGGGACCTCTTCGGCCGTCTGGGGGGCCATCTTGGGCCGTTCTGGGGAGTTTCCGGCAGCCCCTTGGGCCGTCTTGGCGCGATATGGGGGTCTTGAAATGATCTTGGGCTGTTTCAGGACCCTCCTGGAGCAAGCCGCGTTATAGGTATGTTCGAGGCGCTCGGGAGGCGAGAAATCGAAGGGGAAAGCTTCTCCCAGGGAGGGGTGCTCCCCACCAAGGGGGGGTGTCACAGCCCCCAGGACCCCTCCAGGACCCCCCTTGGACCCCCCCCCCCCGCGGGGGAGGTATCAAAGGGAAGGGGCTCCCCTTCGATTCGATTTCGGCGTTGCTCGTTGCTCAATCTCCCTGTGGCTGCAACGCTTGATAACGGCGACGGCGACGGCGAAGACGACGGCGGCGACTAAAATGGAAAAGCCTTTCTACACACGCCGACAGGGTCGGCGGATTCGTTTTTGGCTGTGCACGCTGAGCCCCGATGCCAGCCCAGGCGCTTGAGGTGACTAGCAAGCCCAGGGCCTTCCTCTCCTCTTCCTCATCATCATCATCATCATCATCAGCAGCAGCAGCAGCATCATCAGCATCAGCATCAGCATCAGCATCAGCGTCAGCATCATCAGCATCAGCATCATCAGCATCATCATCGTCATCATCATCATCATCATCATCATCATCATCATCATCATCATCATCATCATCATCATCATCATCATCATCATCATCATCATCATCATCCCGAGCCTCTTCCTCTTCCCCCTGGCAGGAGAGGAGGTTAGGGATAACGCTAGGGGGGAATGGGCTGAGGGGGGGGGGCGCATCGACGACCCCCAGTCGCCCATTCATCGCCGATGGGGGTCAGCCCACCCCGCTCACGAATGTGCGGTTTCGCTGTGAGGGGCCTATCACTGATCTATCGGCGACGTATCGCCGACGCCAGGTCGAGGCTTCCCCACTCAGCCGGTCCCCCCCCCATATCGTTCCCTTGAGGTGGGGGCAGAGAGAGGGGGAGAGCTCTCAAGGCACATTCTAATTCAGGGAGTCGAGCTCCATGCGCCGCTACGTACTTCTCCATATTCTCCCGTCCCTTCCCGCCCCTTCAAGCTCCTCCTCCTCCTCCCCCTTCTCCTCCTCCTCCTCCTCCTCCTCCTCCTCCTCCTCCTCCTCCTCCTCCTCCTCCTCCTCCTCCTCAGTCCCTCCCTACTCGTTCAAGCACGTCCCGAGGCGGCGTGGTTGGCTAGGTGCCAGGCGTGCCAGGCCAGCTGGCTGGTCGGTTTGAGCCGTAAGAAGAGGTGCAAATGGGGGAACGACCAATGACATAAACATAAAAACTCGGAGGTCCGCGCGGGTTTCTCGGATTGGCGCTTGACCCCCATCCCTGGCGCGCGGAGCGCGCCAGGGGCGGCGCCGGAGGCGCTGCCAGGGTGGTCCAACGCGGATCCGAGAAATCCGGGCGGACCTCAGAATTCGTATGTTCATGTCAGTATCAAGGGTGGAAAAACCACCCCGACCCCGACAATTCGCGTTTACTAAACAGCCCTGGGCGTTTACTAAACAGCCCTGCCCTGTTCGATTCCTTCCATGGGTGCGTTTACTAAACGGCTTCGCTTGTCGGGGTGCTTATTATGGGGGTGGATTTTCTGCTCTCTACAGTATTCGTTCCCTTAACAAAAGGTGCATAGCGGTGGGGGTGCGAGCAGGCAAGTGGGCAGCGGAAGAGGTGAGGCGAGCCCCCCCCCCCCGCTTGCTGTGGGCCCGCTCCCTTCGGCTCCTGAGGAGCAGGGAGACGCTCCCTTCACCGTAGCTGCCAGCGCAGCACTTGTTTCGAGGAAGCGAAGACATGGATTAGGGCGCGTGGATTAGCAACGGTTTCCCGTTTCCAGACGAAATCGGCGAATTCCGTCGCCAAACGAGGCGGTATTGGCCATATTTTTCGGGCGGTGGTTTCCCCCATCCGTGGATCTGGCGCCCGCGCGCCAGATCCACGAATCGGTCGTCCATGTTAGCGTGTGCACGACAGGCGGAGCAGGTCCACGAGCCGCACTCGGGCGTCAAGGTGCCATTGTATGGACGATCGAGGGCGGGCCGTGCAGCGCAGATGCCTGCGGATCTGGTCGTAGTCTAGTGCCGTCGATGTCCGCGTGGCCTGCCCCAGTGCCCCAGTGGTCCACGCCGACGTGGGCGCCAGCTGCATGGCGTTTGGGCCATGCCTAGCGCGCCAGCGCGACTGGCCCAGGTCGCCTCCGCGGCTGGGGCTGCAGTGGGCAGGGCGCCCTCGGAGGCTGGGCGCTCGCCGTCGCTGGGCACTCCCCAGAGGTGCTCGCAGCCGCTGCCAGCGGTGCTGGCCCCGACCCCGCGCGGCGGTCGGTGACGCTGCCAGGGGGCTCTGCCGCGGCCGCCCCGACGGCGCTGGCGGCAGCGGCCGCGGCGCCCTCCTCGGCCAGGCACCGGCCGCCGCCGCGGCAGGGTGCCGCGTGGGGCCGCGACCTATGGCCTGCGAGGCGCGGGCGCCTGGGGCCGGGCGACGACCCATCCCCCCTGCGCGGGCCAGCCGCGTCGAGGGGCAACGCCGTCAGCAAAGAAGTTGTTGCGGGCCCTGCTCCTCCACCTCCTCCTCCTCCTCCCCTTTCTCCTCCACCTCCTCCTCCCCCTTCTCCTCCACCTCCTCCTCCTCCTCCTCCTCCTTCTCCTCCTCCTCCACCTTCTCCACCTCCTCCTCCTCCTCCTCCCCTCCTCCTCCTCCTCCTCCACCTCCTCCACCCCCTCCCCCCCTCCGCCCCTCCGCCTCCTCCTCATCCTAGCCCCTCCGCCTCCTCCCCCCAGGCAGGCCCAGGATGAGGACGAATCGCTCCAGAGCGTTCTGGAGCGCTGGCAGGACTTGTCGGATCGCCCCGAAACGGCCGCGGCGCCCGATACATGCTCTGGACCTGCCGGTTCTCAGAGATCCCCGATTTGTCCCCATCCGAATGTATCCCCAGATTCTCCCCTCTTCCGACGACGACGACGACGCCGGCGCCAGCGCCGAAGCCGACGCCGACGACGGCGGCGAGCCGGCCAAGCCGCCGGCAGGACGCTCTTCTGGATGGTGTGGCCCGCCGAGTGGCAGGACTGGGTGCCCCCCGCCGGGGTCGGCGGGCCGCTGGCTGCGACGGGATTTCCTGCCCTCTCAGATGCCTCTTGCTCACCTCCGCCAGTGCACTGCACGCCTTCGCAAAGATGTCGCCGCTCTGCGCCGTTGGCTGCGGGCTACGTTGCGGGCCAGCTGTGGATGCTCACGGCGTGTTGGCGTTGAGAGTCGCTGTGGTCTCGGTCGCTTGCAGAGGCTTCCACGTTCTCTTTTACGGCGTTCCCGACCCTCTGGGATGTCCTGAATTTCAAGATGATTCGCGGTGGACATTCTTCATGTCCATGAGATTGGTTTTGGTTCAGGTTGCGCCTCTCGTATTGCGAAAGCCTTACGGCGGGTGCCGCCGACACTGAAGGGGGACGACGTCGACGACGACGACGACGACGACGACGACGATGGCGTCGACTATGCGCGAGAGTGACCTTCGCTGGAGTGACCTTTGGTGCGGGCCCACATGGGTCCCCGCAGCATTGGCATGCGCGCTTGGATACACAGGTCGACAACAGATGTTATATATATATATATGTACATATACATATATAAATAAAAAATATTACCCCAGTGTGACCCTACCTAGAAATTGGAGCCCCTAGGAAAGCAGCATTAGTTGCTATGATATGCTATGATATGCCATGATATGCTGCGCTATGCTATGCTATGCTATTATATGATTTGAAGTGATGCGCTGTGCTATGATATGCGATGCTATGATATGCTAAGTTATGATATGATGTGTCATGCTGCGTTGTACTATGCTAAGCTATGCTACGCTATGATATGGCATACTAAGCTGTGCTATGCTATGCTATGCTATACTATGCTGCGATATGCTATGATATGCTTGGCTATGCTTGGCTATGGTATGCGATGCTATGCTATGCTACTGCAGCGCTGCGCTATGCTAAGCTAAGCTAAGCTAAGCTAACCCTCTAGACAGAGCCTAGGTAGGGAATTGCGTGTACTTTGCCTTTCCTTTGCTTTTGTTGTTGTTGTTGCTTTGCTTTGCTTTGCGTTGCTTGTGCTTTGCTTTGCTGTCGCTGCTGTTGCTTTGCCTTTGCTTTGCTGCTATGCTATGCTGCGCTGTGCTGTGCTGTTCTGTGCTGCGCTATGCTATGCTATGCTACGCTGCGGTATGCTGGGCTATGCTATGATATGCTGTGCTGCGCTATGCTATGCTACGCTATGCTATGCTGTGTTATGCTATGCTAAAGCTCAGCGAAGCTAAGATGAAGGTAAGCTGAGCTAAGATAAACCTGAGCTAATATGAAGCTAAGCTAAGCTAAGATGAAAAAGCTAAGCTAAGATGAGATAAGCAACGCTAAGGTAAGGGGACGTCCATGGGGGAACCGCGGGGCGGATCCTGGGGGAACCGCCTGGGGCGATTTCCACTGCCCGGCCTCTTGAAGCTCTAAAGTAAGAACCCTTCTAGGCAGAGCCTAGGTAGGGAACAACACCAAGGAATGGGGCCAGCCGAGGGGCCGAGCGACCGCGGGGCGGCGGGCGAGCCTGGGGCGACCAGTGCAGCCGACGGACAAGCGAAAACAAACAAAAACAAATAAGCTTAGCTATGCTATGCTAAGCTGCGCTATGTCATGCTATGCTATGCTATGCTATGCTGCGCTATGCTATGATTTGCTTGGCTATGTTATGCTATGCTATGTTATGCTAATGCAGCGCTGCGCTATGCTAAGTTAAACTCAGCTAAGCTAAGCTAAGCTAAGCTAACCCTCTAAGCAGAGCCTAGGTAGGGAATTACACGCTCATGCTATGATATGCGATGCTGCGCTATGCTATGCTACGCTATGCTATGCTGTGCTATGCAATGCTAAAGCTCAGCGAAGCTAAGATGAAGGTAAGCTAAGCTAAGATGAAACTGAGGTAATATGAAGCTAAGCTAAGGTAAGATGAAATAAGCTAAGCTAAGATGAGATAAGCAACGCGAAGCTAAGGGAACGTCACTGGGGGAACCGCGGGGCGGATCCTGGGGGAACCGCCCGGGGCGGGTTCCACCGCCCGGCCCTTTAAGCCTCCGAGTAACAACCCTTCTAGGCAGAGCCTAGGTAGGGAATATATATATATATATACATATATATATATATATGTATATAGATACATATATATATATATATATATACAAGACTGCAGTGGCGCTTCGCGCCATGCGCCTTGGTCCTTGAAGTTTGGCATGCAGGCGGAATAGCAGGAAGGTCAAGCCGACAATTTAGCGATAACTCCTGGTTGCCTTTTCTGGCATCGCCGCTATAATAATGTTATTCGCTTTCCTTCCTCCATGCTTCTTTTTCCTTATTTTCGCCATGCCCTGCGCATCCTCCCCATCCTCCTCAGTTCTTTTTTGCGGAGGCTCCTCCTTGGAGAGCCTCTAGGGGCCTCACAAAAGTTGTTTCAGGCTTTCTTAAGGCCTTCTGGAGACCTCCTGGGCGTATTCTGGGGGCCTCCGGGGGCTTCCTCGGGCCACCCTGCCTACAACCGCGGTCTCCCTGAACGACCGAATCACGATTTGGAATTCTTCGGAGGGTGTCTTTGGGCCATCTTGGGCCGCCATGGGGCTCTCTGAGGGCCATCTTGGACCCGTGTTGTGTCGTTTTGGGGCTCTCGTGGACTGCCTGGAAGCCCTTTCGGATGGTTGTGGGGCGATTTGGGAGCCTCCCAGGCGGCTTCGGACGCCCAGAAGACCGCCGTCTTGGAGCGTCGGGAAGCCGAAAAGAGGAGAACCTTAAAATTCCCCAAAAACCATTAGAAAATCAATGATTTTTGCCTCGGGGGGCCTTCTCGGGAGTGCTCTTGGAGGCCTCTTTGGGGCTGTTCTGGAGGCCTCTTGGGCCATCTTGAGGTCACGTCGGTCACTCTTGGAGCGCTCTTGTGCTGTCTTGAGGGTCTCTGGGACGTCTCCGATGACCCCCCTGATCGCCCTAGGTGTGCTGGGAAGGCTTGGCAAAACGCCATGCGAGGCCCGGTGGCCGCTTCGAGGCCCGTCTGGAGGGTCCCAAAGACCCAGATCCCGGGAGTCCGGTTTTTTTGGGGGGGAGGGGGACGGGTTTTCCCCCCGCCCGGGCTTATAAAAATATAGGAAGAGGAATCGTTATGTTTTATAATATATATATATATATATATATATATATATGTATGTGTGTGTGTAAGACATCTATATATATATATATATATATATATATATTGTGAAGTAGAGCCTGGACCATGGGGGGGGCCCTCAATTTACTAAGTGTTTGTGGCCCCTCTTCCCGCGGCGCCCCAAGAAGGCCTCAAGATTGCTCCAAGACGGGCCAAGATGGCTCCAATATGGTTCCAGATGCCCCCAGACGGCCTCCAAGCTGGCACAAGATAGCCCATGATGGCTCCACCTAGCTGCCAAAAGGCCCCAGGAGTCTCCAGCAATAAGTATTCCAAGAGGCTCCGAAAGAGAGCTCGGATAAGCCAACCTCATTGATGTTCCGTTGGTTCTAACCGGATTTTAGCATCATCGACCTTTTAGGGTCCCAACGCCCCAAGACAGCTCAAGAGGCCTTCAAAACCGCCCAAGGAGGCTCACAAGAGGTTTCCCAGACGGCCCGAAGGCGACCCAAGATGCCCCAAGAGAGCCCGAAGAGAGTCCCGCGAGGAGGAACTCGAACTGGCATTTGGCACTCTCCGCCCCCAGATGACCCCCGAGACCGCCAGCAGGCCCCCAAGAGGCCTCCCAAAACCTCCAGGAGGCTCCCAATAGACCCAAGCCATCCCCCAAGAGGCATTCGGGAGGCCTTTCGACATCCCCAACCGCCTTGGGGGCCCTAAGATCACCCAAAAGGTCTCCAAGAGGACCCCCAAGAAAAGCTCTGAGAGGCTTGGTTCCCACTGTTTGACCTCTTCTACGGCTGCCCTGAGCTGCACGCCTTCTTGGGTCCTTGCTCGGCGTTTGGAAAAAGAGATGCCTAGAGTGCGCTTTACTTCAGCCAGCACGCCTCATTGAGAGTCCTGGCGCGGCGTGTGAGCCAGTTGGTGTTGCTGGGAGTTGCTTGAGGGTTGTTTCGAGGCATGTGGTTTTCGGCCAAAATCGCCACCGTGCCATGGTCATGAACAGACCCGTGGTCTGGGAGGCTTCGAGGCCACACGTGCGCTGCGTCTCCGCAGCACTTGGCCACACCAAGCTCGGTCTAAAGGTGGGGACGGCCGCAGGAAGCCTGACTCGCCGCAGCCGTCTGCGATATTCGTTCCTGCTCATCGTTCTCCTTCTCCACACCCTGTCCTCCTCATTATTTCCTGTTCCCCCCTTCGTGTTATCAGCATTGCTACTCCTGCAATGCGTTAATCCTCCTACTCCCGCCTTCTGTCCATCTCCTCCCCTCGCCCCCTCCCTTCCAAGAGTTCGCAACACGGCGCCAAGAGGTCTTTCTTTTCGCTCAAGTTAGCCCACGCCCCGAGGCACTGATCCAGTGTTTGATGAATTCTGTGATCTCCATCTGTCGGCGGCAGCAGCTCCACGGTGTTTCTGGCAGAGTCCCTTCCTCACTCTTCCCTCCTCATCCTCTCCCCCTGTCCTCCCTCAGCGTTCTCATCACTTCTACTCATACATGTTCCTCCTCCTCGTACGCACTCCTGTACGTTCCTCCTCGCCTCCTCCGTTTCGAGAGCTCCGAAGAGTGCGCCAAGAGGATTGCTCGATCACAAAACCAAGTTTAACGCCCTGAGGCATCCATGGCTGTTTGACGAATTCTCAGGTCTCCAACGTTTCGACGGAAGTAGCCCCACGGCACCCTGGAGTAAGGCCACACAGTTGAGGTTACGATGCCATCGCCTTCCTGCGGATCTGGATTATAATGGCACGGTCCTTCTTCCGCGCGGTGCTTTGGCACCCAAGATAGCTAAAACAGGAGCGCGCGCGAAGCGCGTGCGATTGTCCAAGTAGTGATACACGGAAGGCCAAGCGCCCTGCGGTATGATGTACGGAGCGTCAGGGGCCCCGCGAT